AAGTAGGAATAAGACCCTCCGGAAAAGGGCACTTTTTCTGGACTTTTTCCGGAGGATCGGGGCCAGTGTAGACGCTTTTTTAAAAGCCGGAAAAAAGCGGCGGACATTTTTATTTAAATGCCGCGGGGGATATTTAAATCCCCCGCGGATTTCCCTACGACGACTGGTGAAATTTACATGCCCCTTCCGGAAAAGGGGCCAGTGTAGACGTAGCCATAGTGACCCTACAAGTGACGCTCCTGCACTGGCCTTGCCGCTTCCTTTTGGGGTGAGTCCCTCAGTGTGAGAAACGCTGCACTAAGAGATTCCTCTACAATCCCAAGGTCCAACATGGCCAGTAATTCTTGGCAGACCTTTTCCTAAAACTTCCATAGAAGTGGTTGTAGGTTCTCAGGGAAGTTTTTCACATTTCAAATATCCTCCTGGATGGAAATTGGAGGTCGTGTTCAGGAAAGCTCAGATGCATGGTATGCCTCTCAAACATCAGCATCCCCTGGCATTAAGTGGCCAGATACTTCTTTGTACATACGTGTGTGTATAAAGAAACCTTTTACTTACCTGGGAACAAAAATATCGTGTTTCCATGCCACTTGCATCAGCCAGAATTTATACAGCCTTCTTCCTACTCTGTAATCTCACTCGGCTGTATTTGCATTCCTCTCTCGAAAGAGGAATGCAGTGTAGACATACCCTAAGTACAAGGTAGGGATGTAAAATCCCGGTTAATTAGTTAACCAGTTAAACTGGATGAGAGCACCCCTGTGGGGCTGAAGCAAACTCTTCCCCTCCCGATATTACCTGGTGCCAGTGCAGCACAGCAGCTGCCTGGGAGACTCTAGCAGGAAGGGGTTGGCTGCTGGGGACATAAAGTATTGTATGGCCAAGGACACAATGCCAGCAAGATGAGGCTCATCAATGGTCTTGTGCTTGCAAAGCAGGTTTCCCCTCCTCACACATGACACTCTATGAGGGTGCATTGTTCCCTATGGTATGGAGACTCGGTGGCCCATTTCACCGAGATTTTAAAACTCAGGGAGAATGAGGGTTTTTAATTTCCCTCCAGCTCTCTCCATCTCCCAGCCCCTGCAACAGCTCACTCTGCCCCCTTTCCCCACAGACAGGGTCTTTGCCCACCCTTTTAGGTCCCTCCCACCCCACAGCTCCGGCCGGCCAGCCTCCCCTTCCCCAGGGATCTGCACAGTGCAGCCCATGTAAAAATGTCCTATATTACATTTTTAAAAGAGAGGCATCAACTTGGGAAGAGGAATCTTGTGGGGATTTCTGCTATCCTAGTCCTTTCTGGTCCTATTAGAAGTGGAGATTGAGAGACCTCAGCTCTATCCCTCGTCCAGGCTCCATTGTTTGGTTGTCCCCAATGTACAGATATTTTTGTGTTTGTCTATATTGTTGCTCTTAGCTTTCTCAAGCAGCAGCAGAGTGAAACTAAAATTGCAAGTCTTATCTGTTTTCGAAGTATTTTTCTAAGTGGGTGAGTTTTACTACATAATGTCATTTAATATATTGTAGCTATTTTACAAATATTTTCTATATGTGTCTGGAGCTCAGGTCAGGCTTTTATTCAATCAAAATAAATAAGTCTTGTCAGACCCACAAGGGACTGAATGCCAGCAACCAAACTATTCAGATACTTGCCAATTTCATTCTGCAGCTGCTTGGGACAACTATGAGGAGCATGAAAAGCATTGGAGCTTTCTGTCTACAGATTCAGGAACACAACAGTGTATCACTGCATTACATATGGTAGGTTACATTCACAATCAACGGCTGGAAGCAATTGTTTTATATTTAAGAGAGTGTGTGTATCTGTCCATACATTCATTCATCTGTCTCTCTGTGAGTCCGTTTGTTCAAGAATTTCTCCTAAACAGTAAGAGCTAGAACCACCAAATTTGATATACAGCTTCCTCTTATTCTATTTTAAAGCAAGGTTATAGTTTGGTTGTGCCAGGAAAATGGCATGTGCCTGGAATGGGATTGTTTTCATAACACAGAAAGGGAAGGAGCTGAGAGGAAGGACAATTGTACTGCAAAGTGACCAGTGAAGGCGGCAAGTGCAGGGGACAGCTATACTACAGAGTGACCACAAGGGGGAAGCTGCACGAGGAAGAGAGCGGCCAGCTCGGGCCAAGGCTCTCCATGTTGCCAGCCACTGGCCCAGGTAAGTGGCCCCTCTGACCCAACCTCTCCCACCTCAGCCCTCAGCTACAGCGCCAGATGTGGGGGGGAGCCCCACCAGCCAGCAGCCTTGCCGAACCAGAGGAGAACTGCTGGGGGCCTGGACTGTTCTGAGCAGCCCTGCAACTGCCCCCAGGAGCACCACTGGGGTCTAGGCTGCACAGTCCCTCTCTTTCCCATCTCCCTGGAGAAGCACTGGTGGGGGGTGGGGCTGGGTGGCACAGCCCTGGCCCCCCCAGACCTCAACGAGCCCCACCAGTGGTTGGAGCTGGGCTGGAGTCCGCAGACAGGGCTGGGCACCATAGTCTGGCCTCCCCTCCACCCATGAGCAGCTGGGATGGGGGGGGAACAGCAGCTGCAGAGCCATCTTCAATGTTGAGAGCAGCCCTGGTGAGCACCCCCTGGCCCGAGCCTCCGCACCTCCTGCCCTTAATCCTGCACTCTCCCTGGCTGGAGCCCCACTACACCTTCCACTGCCCTGCCCTGACTCCTGTACCCCTCACACTGCTAGCCCCCTGCCCTGAAGGATTCGAGCAATGCCAGCTAAGTCACTAGTGATTTTATACTTTTTCCAAGTCATTGATAAGAATGTTAAATAGTGTGCAGCTAAGAACCAATTCCTGTAGGACTCCCCTAGAAATACAACCACCTTTCAATAATCTTGTTTCTTAAAAGAGTGGGTAACTTTACAAGAATCCTTTTCTTTGAGGGGCAATGCACATTTACATTCATAGCCAAGAGAAAGTTATGTATAAATGTTATTCTTGTCATTCTTGACAGTGCCTTTAAGATAAATAATCTCAGAGTAAAAACTTTTATCAGATATATTATTCACAAATTAAAGTCTGATCTATAGTATTTTATAATCAGTATCATAAATAAAGTTATCTGGGGTGCATAGATCAAGGTTGTTCAGAGTTTTATTAATTTAGCACCTGATTAGCAATAAATTGGTCAAGAAAAAAAAAAGGATCCAATCCTGCTCTATCTACATCAATGAAAAAACTCCCATACTAACTTCAAAAAGCAGAGGATCAGATCCTGTATTTTGGTGCTGCTTTTGAAGATATTTGTAGACCAAACTAGCATCATCCTTCCTCAAGAGCCACTTTCCCCATAATGCCTATAAGTTAATAATTAATTATAATTGGGCTGGAAAGCAGTAGGGTATAGCTTACATTTTAATTACATTTTAAAATGCTAACCATAAATTGCATATAAAATTGTAGATTGTTCTACTAGATCCCTCCCTTGTTCTCCCTATGTTTCTTTTTATTTTAGACCTCAATTCTCCAAAGATTTATGCATGTGCATAACTTCAAGAACATGCACAAGTCTTTGCAGTATAGGGGCCTTGAACTGGAAGCTCTCTAGAATTGGAACTAGACCTGCTTGTGCACACAGCATGTACAGTCTCTAGCACAATGGGGTCTCATTCCTAACTAAGGTCTTTTAGGTGCTATTGCACTACAAATATATAAATATGTTCCTTATAGTATATGGGCCAGATTTCCAGCTGGTGTAAGTCAACTACACCAGCTGAGAATCTGTCAATAACTTTAATTTGTTGACATAAGAAAAACCTGTCAATGTTGTTTCTGCTAGATGGAGGACAAAGGATTACAGGTGAAAACCCAGCCCCTTGAAGTTAATGTGAGTTTTACCATTGCTTTCAGCATGGAGAAGATTTAATGCCACATTTCCAAACTAATGAAAGAAGTGGGGGAATCAAAAAGACAACTAAAATGTATTACTTGCTGGCAATTCTTTTAACATGTTTTACCTTAGCATTGTTCTCTTCAATAGTATTTGGGAAAGCACAGGGAACACTGTGTTCTTTTAGAATTGTATGCTAAGCATCCTTTGGGGCCAATTGGAAAAGAGTTCCTAATGTTAATGCTAATGTGAAACATATCAGCAGGCTGGATTGGAAAATCATGACTGTTAGCAATAAAAAGTGTGCAAGTAATTGTTTATATGTGACCACTGCAGCATTAAACTGAGACACATGCAAATGAGCCTTACCTAAGGGTACACATGGAAATGTTATGTAGTGTGGTACGTGCGGGCTGTGCTGCCATGAGGATTACACCAGAGGTTTGTCTCAATATGCTTAAGCATTTGTAATTCTCAGGAGCAGGATACTTCCTTAATTTGCAATTATACCTCATGTACAAATCAAAAGCAAGATTGCAAGGTTGTCAATATGCATCAGGAACTAATCGGATGGGGGGCATCAAAATACTTGAATCGGTAATCAAGCGATTGTTTCCCATTTCTTTCAGATTGGTCCGAACATGATGGGTGATGATTACAATGAGTAGGAGATATATCAGGGAAACCAAGATGCACTCACTTGGAAGTGCCAAAAGACGGCAGAAGGTTGACAGATCAAAGAGTATTTTCTGTTCACAAGAGGCAGAGCAATTTCACAACATACAAATAAAGCTTCTACCAACATTTATCACTTGCTGGGAACACATTGGCACTGAACACAACAAGCCTTTGTTAAATGAAATTTCAGTGATGCTTTTAGAACATATTAGAACTTTAACAAACATCAGGTGCTGAGCATAATAAATGCCTCCAATGGATTTAGAGCTGCCAGTAATACTTTATTAATATTGAATCTTGACTGAGTTATCTTTGTTTACTGTCTGCATATACTGAGTTAATTCAGTGTGAGTTAGTCAGAAAATTCTCCTAAGAAGGTGAATCCTGATAGGCCCTTCTCTGCAAACACTTGAGGGAGAAGCAGAATCATTTCCTTTTATATGCTAGGCTTGCTGAACCTGTCCGACAAGTTTTCTTCAGGAGAAACTCAGTGACTGGGCGGGGAGGGGAAATCACAAACTTCCAGAGGGCTGAAGGAAAAATACTCTTGAGAGAAGGGGACTATATGGTTGGAGATAAAAACTGACTCTCTCCTCTTGAGACTGGATCTTGAGAAAGATTAACTTTCCTAAGCCTCCATTTCAGGTTGGTCAGACTCTAGTAAGATAGATATGCATGTAAGACTTTTTTTTTTTTTTAAGTATGTTCTTTACTGCTTTGCTGTTCCTACTGATAAGATCAGACAAACAGTACAGTAAACCTCCAGTGGTCCGGCATCCAATAGTCTGGCACTCCTGATGGTCCGGCACCATCTGGAACCCGGAAGTGCTCTGGGCAGCCGGACAATTGGAGCTGCTCTGCCCCTGGCTTCCCTGAGTCAGCCGCTGGTCAGTTTCAGCAGCGGCTGACTTGGGGAAGTCTAGGGCAGAGCAGCTGGGGTGCTGCCGGGTTGGTCCCGCAGCGCCGAGGGGCGCATCCTCCCCACTCCACCCCAGACCTCAATTTCTGGCCAATGGGAGCTGCAGAAAGCAGTGTGGGCCACAGATAAAACTGGCTGCTACTTTCTGCAGCTCCCATTGTCTGGGAACAGTGAACCACAGCCATTGGGAACTGTGAGAAGCTGTACTTGTGGATGCAAGATAAGTAACCTGTCTGGCAGCCCACAAGCAGCTCATCCTGACAAGCCACATGTGGTCCCCTGGGCTGCAGGTTGCCTACCAATGTATTAAATCACTGAAAGAAGAGTTAGATAAAATGCAGGAAGTAAGATTCATGCCTCTCAGCGGTCAACAATTTCTAACTTTTACATCAACGAATCAGTCCCCCTTCTGTCAAAATCTTTGTTTTGTGTAGATTTCAGGTTGCTCGAATATAAATTCCATGAAAGCTAAAAATCAAGGCAACCACAAGTTTAATCTTTTTTCCCTGGCTGCAAACACTTAACATGAGTCAGGATTAAAAAAGGTCAACACTAGTCTTAACGCTGACAGATGATGTACTAGCTCAAGCCAATGCCCTTAAGCCTCACTGAACATTGGAAACCAGCCAGACTCACCTGTGAGTTAACATTGTTCAAACAGATGTTACCTTTATAAGAAAATATTTAGTATTGAAGATATATTAATCTCACTTATAATATCTGTGTCCCATGATATGAAGTTACACTGAGTATTTGCATTGTAAACTTCTGTAATTGTGCAACTCACCCACCAGGAAAGAAGAATGAAATAATGTAAAGAGCTGATCCTGCACACAAGAAGGGCCTTTGAAACCAAATGAGCTATTGTGAAAGACTAAGATCAATGATTTTGTTGATTGCCTCCCCAAGACCCACGGAGAGATCGGTGCAAATACTAGTCCCATCACAAATTGAGTTTTGGAGGAAGGGAATAAAAAATCATTGACCCGAAGAAACTGTGTCACTATGCTGCTTAGAATTTGCAGAGGGAGTATTTGTAAATGATCCCCAAGCTGCTTGGCTTGTGCCAAAGGACATAGAAAGCTAGCATATTGCAGCAATTTCTAATTCCTTTTGCAACCTAAGACTAACCCATTTGTGTGTGTACATTTACCTGCTTTAACACTGTACACAACAACTCTCATTTCTTTTTCCGAGCTAATACATCTTCGCTGTGTCTAGACTGCATCCCTTTTTCGTAAAAGGGATGCAAATTAGATGTATCACAATTGCTAATGAAGTGGGGATTTAAATCTCCCCCGCTTCATTAGCATAAAAATGGCTGAAAAAGAGCGGCAGCCATTTTTATGCTAATGAAGCGGGGGAGATTTAAATCCCCACTTCATTAGCAATTGTGATACATCTAATTTGCATCCCTTTTACGAAAAAGGGATGCAATCTAGACATAGCCTTTGTGTTTCCAAGCACTATAGCAGCCTCACTATGAGGAATTCACACTTGTTACTTCATTGGTGAATTCTAAGTATAGAACTCACAATTAGTTTGGGGTTTGTGTCCTGGTTTTGACTGTCTGCCTTGATGTTGGCACTCATTCTCATGAGCTATTCTGGACAGGTTGACATTTATCATGTGAGACAGCATCCACTAATTCAGGTGATTACTGTTAGAAACAGATAAGGCAGCCTGCATTCACTTGCCTAAAATAAACATAATAATTGAATACATAAACTAGCTGTGATCAGAATCATGGTTTACATATATGTCAATTTAGCAGGTTTGAGGTCCTGAGCCAGCCAGTCATTCTGCCAGAGCTCTGAGTTTGGACATCAGATAAGCATGCTAGAGATACTGAGCCATTAGCCTCCTAGAACTCTGGTCCTACTATAAGCCCAGCAAGATGGAGGTGATCTAATGGCATCACAGAAGGCTGTAGTTCAACATAATCCTACCAACAGAGAGCAGGAGACCTCTCTGAAACATGTATTTAGTTTAGCCATCATTGTGGCCACATAGAGGTGCTGAGCCAGTGAACTTAAGCGTAAGACATGACTATTGGCCTTTACTCTAGGAACCAATTCAAGAATGTCATTAATCAGCATCCATTGTCACTAAACTTCCTTTTATAGATTATAGAGATCATACAGCAGATCTCCTTAAATCCAATCACTATGCTTTTAAACCTGGAAATGGCACAGGAACTGAACTGATCTTAATGCTGGGTATCTTCTCTTTGTGACTCAGGGAGGCTAAGTATCCATAATTGCTTTTAGATCTAACAGCTGCCTTTACCAGTGCCTGTGAGGAGCTGTTGACATGCCTTTCTTTATGGATGTAGGGACTTGTAACATCTATAACAGGGATGGGCAAACACTGGCCCGTGGGCTGGATCTGCTGCAGCAGGAA